GAAGCTGATCAGACATGTGAAGCATGAGAATGGCTCTTCAAGGAAATGCAGCCGGCCACAACGGCCAGATCATTAGCCCTCCTGAGTCAGCTGTCGAGGATCCAGTTCGCTGAGGGCAAAACGGTATCTGAGCAGAAGCCTCAGTTCGAGGCTATCGTGCAAGAATCTGAGGGGATATCAAACGACGCCAAAGTCGCTGCGGGGTTGGTTGCAAGAGCTTCAGGTGATGATGCCACCCCCATGGAAGTCGACTACGTTGGCAAATCCTAAGATGGAAAGGGAGCGTGGAAGGAAGTGAGTCGCAGGGAAGGAAGGAAAGAGCCCAAACAAGTCCGCCAAAGGTGGCAAGTCAGGTGCATGCCACGTCTGCTGAACATGGCACACTACGCCAAGGACTGCTGGAAGAGAGTAAATCAGATTGAAGAGCAGCAGACAACCAATCCAGGTGGTGCGAGTTCATCGTCAACTGGCCAAACTGGATCGGCAGGGGCATCTTCAACGCAACACGCCTCTGTGAAGATGGTCAAATCGCAAACACCACCGGAGGCAGCTAAGATGGCGTGGAGACTACATAGCCTTGGAGGGTTGGCATGGTCAGGTTGGAAGAAATGGAGATGGACGAGTACTATGAGATTGAGGATGACGAGTACCAGGACTGAGCCTTCAGTTGATGTGCCTAGACACGTGGCTATCATGGTCATGGATTTGCAGGCGACGAGGTGGAGGTTGAAGATTGAGGAAATGGAATGTGATGAGTAGTGAGTAGTGCTTAGTGACATTGGACAGTGGGGCAGAAATTTCTCTCCTGGCACACACGTCACAAGCACTGGCAAATTTGAGAATGGTGGACGCCCAGGGCCAGAGAATAGCACACGATGGAATGACAAGAGCTTGAATGAAGATTCAAGACAGGGATGGCAAGTTCATTGAGATCATGGAATAATTTGTTGTGGGGAACGTCTGGCCCGGCTGCACCGCTCGCGCTGTGCACCGGTCCGCACAAGCTTGTCCGCATGTTGTGGGGAACGTGCATCATCCCATCCTATGTGCAGGGCGCTTGTTGGAGAAGGGCTGGAGTCTTGGTGGAGTCGATGGACAACTGCACTTGGAACAAAGTCGAGACATTGAGATTCCTTTGAGCACAGAGAGGAACTCCTTGCAGTTTGAGGCGCACATCTTTACTGTGAAGGCACCAGAAGATGAGAATGAGGACAAGGATGCACGCATCTTCGCCCTGTCAGTGAAGAGCCTTGAGATGACTGCTGGATGTTGTTGCACGCCGTCTGGCCAATCCGGAAGGAAGCATTGAACAGACTTACAAGGCAAGGCTCACCCTGGTGACCCTGGTGAAGAACAAATATGATACGTGGACACAGCTGGAGAATGTGGAGGACTAAACCGCTCTGGGGAGTCTGGGGAGTACAGAACCATTGCGCACTTTGAGTTTCTTTTCCCCGACAAAGTTCAAGGACTGGGAGTAAGGATCTGAAGTGCCGATATCACCATATCCAAACTCTGAGGAAGCTTTTGGCCATGTGGACTGGTCCGAAGACGATGCAGAAGAAATTGAGGACTTGGAATCCAAGATGTTCCACGATGTAGACTAAGACAGTAGCGGCAGAAAGGCTAAGTGAATCGAGTTGGACCAAGTGATCTTCTCTGAGAAGCTGACGGTGAAGGAACTTCAGATGGCCTGCAAGGAGATCAAGGAGAGGCAGAGGAGCTGCAGAGAATGCCTTTGACTATGGGGCAACCGAAATTGCCAGCCTTGCTGAACAAGAGTTGCATTTCGTGACACATTGGCCGTATGGCCGTATGCTCCTTGGTGTGTAGCTTGCGGGGCAAAGGAAAACAAGTACAAGAATGTGGATGAGAAAGAGGACACTGGGGACCGGGGAGAACATCGCCCAGATCGACTTCTTCTACACGTACACTGCAGAAGAGGTCCGAATTGACGAGACACCTGTCAGTTGACAAGGACCAGTATGGGACTTGTCTTGTCATGGTGTCCAGTGAAACCAAGGCCATCCATGTCGTACCCGTTCCGTCCAAAGGGAGTGCAGATTGAAAACAGTGACAGAAGAGATTGTGCGATTCTCACTGGAAAATGCTTCACGAGATGGCTGCATCATTCAAGCCGATGGAGAGCGTGCAACAAGACAAATCTTGAGGTCTGTTCAACAAGTGAGAAGTGTGATGGGGCTCCAGACTGTCGTCTGTATCACAGGTGCTGGACAACACTCATCGAACGGACAAGCAGAACGTGCAGTGCAAACAGTTCGTCGTTTGGGGAACTGTCTCAGGGCCTTTGCCGAAGAACCAGGAAGGATTAACATTCTTGGGGAGCTTTCACTTGCTCCCCTGGGCCTACAAGCATGCAGCTTCTTGGTGAACCGCTTCAGGGTGCTAGAGAGATGCAACAAGACGAGTCATGAATCGGCTACTGGGCACCCTTATCGAGGGAAAGCTTGCGTTGTTCAGCGAAAGTGTCATGTTCAATGCGCATGGTGAAATACAAACGCAGTGGAGCGTTTGAAAAGGGAGCATGGGCAGGAAAACACCCATGGAATGATTGTCACAGCATCCTCACTGAGAGTGGTGCCTGTGAGAGCAGAACAATTCGTAGACTAGCTCCCGAAGAGGCGTTCGAAGGCATTGACATGCTGCACGCAAAAGGTTTGCCATGGAGCTATTCACCACAGGGCATCCTCATGAAGCACGCTGGACAAACCCAAAAGTATCGCATGCCTACCTTGGAAATGGAGGCCAGTGTGGCAGTGAGGAAGAGATGAAGCAGATCAGGACTGATGTGGCAGCAGGCGTGATCACTCCCGCACCTGGTCTCAGGGCACAACCGTCTATACTACCTGGCATTGGGATTGCACTTCCGGCTACACCTCCAATGACGCTGGGGAGGACGAGGCTTTTGCTCGAGGAGGAGAATGTGGAAGGTAGAGAGAGAGAGAGCAAGAAGGTTGATAGCTCAGATACCCCCCGGCGAGGAGAGTCGTCGAAGAGAGCGACGACGAATCCATAGAGGAGCAAAAATGGCCGAGAACAGAACAACCAATATTGCCAAATGCGGCCATGAGCTCACAACCCATTGAGGCTTCACCCAGGACATCACCTACAGTACGGGATCAGGACCTCTGCAGACTTGATCCCTGAAGAGGTGATTGATGAAGAGTTCTGGGGTTATGGAGCTCCAGAAGTCAGTGAAGAGGAGTTGGCAGAGCTCGATGCCGTGGCAAAGGAGAAGGAGATCATGAGAACGCTCGAGATTCCAATGGTGGAGGTTGAGCCGGAGGAAGTCGAGTTGAGTGGCTATGTGATTTCGACCGAGGTGATGTGCTGGAAACATCGGTTAGAGATGGGAGGATGGTTCGAGATCGACTGGTTGCACGGCAGTTTTAGAAATAGCATGAAATAGCATGAAATAGCATTAAGCTAAACCAACATGTGCGCCGACATGAAGGATGATTCACCACTGTTCCACGGAGGAGATATCACGAAGTTCAGGAGCATTGTGGGCGGCAGGCTGATGTACCTGTCAGGTGAGAGACCTGATGCTCAGTTTGCCATTCAGTGTCTGGCGAGACACATGGCTAAGCTTGCTGTCCAAGCCATGAAGAATGCGTGGCATGTGTGCTCCTACCTCTTTGGGGCTGGTGGCTATGGGGTGAGAATCGATAGCAGAAGGCGAGGACTAGGACAGTCTGTGATGGATGTGCGCGACGCTGAAGAAGTGGAAGATCAAGAAGAGCATCTGTTGGAAGTGATGACAAATGCTGACTATGCCGGAAATCGCCATGACTGCAAGTCCACTGTTGATCAAGCACCTTTGGAACCAGCTGACAGGAAAAAAAGGTGCACTATGGACAGTTCAGCGGCACGGGCTATGATGCAATGACAGGGCATTGGCAGGGTACGCCATTTAGATGCTTCCCTACAGTGGATTCAGCAAAAGGAGAACGAGAAAGCTTTGTCCGTAGCTGCTGTGCCCTCAGAGCTCGACAGCGCCGATCTGGGGGCGAACTTGACGAAGAAGAGACACGTGGCAGTGCTCTACTTGCTCAAGATGGTGAATGGGTGACAGAGTGGGTGACAAGGAGCACCTGGACATCGAGAGGGACTACCACATCAAGCAGAGTGTGAATAAGTTCGGCAAGAACAAAAATGTGAGAATTGGGCCGCGGAGTCTGATGAGCACTCTGAGCAAGGCAGCCGGTGCAGTGACTGATGGAGAAGTTCATGAGCCTGAAGGAGTGGATTGGGGTTGGTTGAAGGTCTTCGGTGGCATGCTCGGCTTCTTGCAGGACATTGTGAAGGAGATGATCATGAAGAAATAGCTTTCCGTGAAAGTTGAGATCAAGTTGATGGACAACGAAACACTGGCAACCATGTGGTTCGATCACCACTACCTGCAAGAGTATGAAGAAGAGCTGCTGGAGGTCAGAAACAAATGTGCCAAGCAGGACCCCTACATCGAGGAGTTGGAAGAGCGTCTGAAACTAGTACAGGAGGCCATGAGTGACAATTTGAGTCAGGCCAACATTTCAGATGCTCGTGTGCAGCAGTTGGAAGGGCGGCTGAACCAATTGAGAAAAAACGGCAGCTGGACAGGTAATCCGTTTTTCCCGCAATTGCCAACAGTGGGGGCATGGCAATCCCGTGGAATGGTGTAAACTGTGCTTTAATAAAGGAGGAGAGATGTCACATACATGAGCATGCAGTCATTTGAGCATGGAAACGCACAGGGGCATACAGGCCCAAGTTTGCATAGCAAAAGGTCCGTTTTGCGTCTTTCAGTTAATGAAAGCAATGTGTTCTTCATCAACAATCTTTGAGGGCTAAAACGGCTATAAAAATCAATTTTACATGTCAGGAAGTGATTGCAGCCTTTAAAGGCAAATGAAAACGGAGTCAACAAGTAGGTCCACAAGTAATTCTTCATATGTATATATATATATATATAGTCATATAAATATATTACTTGTGGTCGCTGATTGAGGCACATCAGGCTGGATATGCATTAAGCAGCTGTGTATGAATCAGTGAACAACAAAGCAATAACAACATGTGCCACATGTGTCATTTTTCACGTGTCTTGATTCGCTAGAACCTGAATGGCACCTTCTAGCCACTCCAGTATGTTTAGAAAGTATCAAGTCTCGCTCACCTCTGTACGTAGAGTTGGAGTTTTGGCCCCACCTAAGTCAACCCATGGCAGCATTAGCGTCAGGTGTCTGAACTGCATGTTGAGGGAAGAAGAAACCAGCTTTTAGCCCACTAGTAGCGTGTCGCTTGCTTACAGTAGAGACAGTACATGTAGTTGCAACAAAAGATGAGACGTCCATTGCTCTGATCTTCCCATTCTCTTTAAATACCTCGGGCTTGATTCTTTGACCCGAGACACCAGAAGCTCGCGAAGCTCAAAGCCGACTGATGCCGGAGTCCTTGTACCTGTCAACTACGGCTACAGTTCACAATGGCGTTATTTACTTCCCACACCACAAAAACCTGTATAGTTGTGTACACAATCTATTTAAATATATATATATATACATACATATACATATATATATATTATGTATGCTTCAAGGCCTGAAGGGCCTGAGAATGGATTCATTGAAAACTTCCACGACTATTCTGCCCAAGACGTCGCACCATTCCATTGCCTGATTGCCAATCCTCATGAGCTCTAAAAACAGCATGCTCTCAAAAGCAAGTGCAGTTCAGGTGGTCATGCGAGAATGCCACTATGTACTTCCTACATCAACCAGCCCCCTTTTAACCAGGTTCAAGAGCTCAGCTCCGGGCAAGCCCTCACCAAAAATGCCACCCTCTGGGAGCATTCCCAGATCGTGGCCAGTCTTTCTGGCATGGATCGTAGCAGGGGAACGGATCATGTTGTCAACCAAAGTATGGCCGTGTCTATGCAGGTAGCGTTGTGAGTCGGAATGAAGAGTTTCATGCAAGCTAACAAATCCCCGCATATCACCTGGTTGACTTCAGATAGTCATCGGTTCTCCTATATTGACTGATTATTGTACATGCTCTGCTGTGCACACGGTGCACACGCTCTGCGCACGCTCTACTTGGTATGTGGAGTATTTGGGATTGCCCTCACTTAGTGTCTTTTTGTTGGGCATCCTCTAACTGCTTGCACTCTGAGCTTTCCGATGCTAGTCGAACGCAAAAGGCTAGGGAAGGAATGGGGTGAACTGAGTGCCAGGGAGTTCCTGAGACACATCCCATTTCTCGAAGAGTTTCACGAAGCGTTCATCTCGGTTAGATGTCGAGAAACGGCATGGCATCAACAAGGGCAACAGTTGTAGCAAATATGACAAAACGTGATACCTTTTGACCAAATATTTCTCCTGCAACGTTGAATCCATGGCTGTGGCCTAAATCTTTAGTTCTAGGCTCACATGGCCAGCTTTCCTTGCGGGAGCATCATGAAACACCAGATATGACCAAACCCTGTGATTTTGCATAGTTCAATGCGCACAACTGAGTTGGATTACTCCGAAATGAAGACTGAAATCAACTCACGTCAGAGGCACTTGGCTGTCTTGATGAAACCTTGTCTCTTCCTGTTTTGGATGCCAAAAGTATCGCAATAGGCTGTGATAGCCTTGAGTGCAGGGAAGCAAAGGCCCTTGACACTCTCTCTCCATGACTGCGATTCATGCTGTTTCATCGATTTCTTGTGTAAGTCATCATTGGGAGGCCACACACGCGAATGGAGTTCGATACCTTTGCCACGAATTCTTTCTACAAAAGTCTGCCCAACCAAAAAGTAGCCGATCGTGACCTCGGAATGGCACGTGTTGAAAGTGTTGAATAAGTTTGGGGTGTTAGATTGACGTTTTCTCTTCAGGTCCCGCCAAAAAATGATTCTTAAGAAATGTGTTCCTGCAAAACCTCACTGCCTCATCCATGAGAGTCAAAATCCAATATGTGAATCTCACAGTTCACACCTATTGCAAATAAGTTGCAATAGGGGCGAATAGGCCCTCCATGATTTGCTGCATCAAAGGCGCCTTGCAAAATTCAGCCCAAACTCATGGAACAGCAATCCGAGATTGAAACTTCATGTTTGGTTTGTGTCAAAGGATTCAGTGCAGCGCTGGGGTTTTCCTTCTTGCCTGACTGGTTGCGATAGCAAAGCCGGAATCTTGACCCTCAATCACAAAAGCACACGCGTTATCATCTTCGGCCACTGCATCAGCTACCCGCCATCCCACCTTGGCCTTTGCTTTTGCCTTGGCCTGGCAACGATCAAAAACTGTGGCATGGTGCGGCATGGGTACATTTTGCCTATTGGTTTTACTGCTGACCCCTGCGACGTGAACATCGAACCAATCTTTGGAGAATTCAACAGAGCGGTGCAACATTTGCGTTTGTTGGCGTGAAGTCACTTCTTTCAAAGTCGTGGCCTTTGGAGCCACTTTGGGCTTCTCACTGATCTCAGAGCAAGCACACACGCAAGTGACCGCAAATGTTTATTGTCTATCCCTCTCTCTCTGTGATAGAAATATCTACATACATTCAACACATTGAAGCGCAGCAGCAGCTCCCTTTTCTTTTTTGCTCCGCAACGGCGGGAGCTAGCATGAGGTTCTGTCATCAGAAGCACTCTTACCATTTACGGTGGTTGACTTATGAAGGGTTGGGTGGGAGGGAAAAGAAAATTTTCCAAAGCCGTTTTGTTCCAAAAGGTCATTTCAAATGGTTAGAACGATTCTATGTCCACCACATCTGCCCCTTCGCGGGACAATAAAATCTTCAACAAAATGAAACGCAGCAGCAGCTCCCTTTTCTTATCTGCTCCATAAGGGTGGGAGCTTCTGTCATCAAAAGCACTCTTCCCATTTACGTTGGTTGACTTCCAGTTCCACTCCAGGTGAAGGAATCCCAACGCACTAGATCTCCAACGTACTTAGAAGAATGCGAGGGCCTGAAAAAGAATAAGGCCGGGACTGTGCTGCCAGTGAACAAAATGGCGGCGCCGCCACCAGGGGCCCTGCAGACCCTGTCAAGAGATTCCGTCACTCCAGTTGGCGGCGCGGGCTCGAAGTAGGCAACACATTCAAAGTGCGTGGGAGAGCATGGAATGGGCGATTTGAGCCACGCGGCCGAGCTCTCCATGATCAGATCGGCCACGATCAAAGCCATGAGAGGCGCGACGCTGTCTCTCCCCCACACAACATAGGCACCTTGAAACAAAGGCGAAAGTCAAGAGCCCTTGAACGACAGCGAGAAGCTCCGGCTGAGCTATCTTGACCGGAGCATCATTCCATAACGAAAACACAGTAGGATCCATCTGACTCACTGAACCTACAATGGAAGTCACAACTGCTGACCAAGTACCCAGCCTTGTCTTGTTGGGGCCTATCTTGGGAAGCATCACTGGCAACCACGGGCCGACGCGCTGACGTTGGGAACCGAACCAAGCGGCGAGGTCGACACTGCAAATAGCTTCGACCAAATCCAAGACAGCTTCACAAGTTATCTGGCGCTTCGTTTTAACTCCGGCAAGAGGGAAAGGGCACGCCCAATCCATTCGTGATAGGCATTTCTTCGGAGCGCTATACCGAGGCTATACCCAATTTTTGGCCAGGCCCAGGGGACAGCCTTGACTTCCGGCTTCTCCTTCGTCATTCCGACGCCGTGGGACAGGGCCAGTTGATGGCAGGGTCGAAAGCAGCCTGCAGGTCAGCAGGTTGAGGTTTAAAGGCACCGCCACGCCATGAGCAACCAAGGTCCAATTCTTTCTCCTATACTATCAAGACAACGGCCTCTGAGAATGCAATCATGGCCGCAAGGGTCTGACTTTTCCATCGCTCAAATCTTCAGAAGCTGAACGCTCAATGTTAAAACACAAAGCCAGCCGCCAAGTCTGTGGGTCCCCAGGATCGGGCCACGCCTCGCACTCCACTAAGTCTAGGTAATCCAGGAAGGCTACGCCCAGCCCAAACTGGTCGGCAGGACGCGTTCTGAGCTTGGCTTGCTCCCGGAGTCTTCGGCGTCTGCAGATCGTTTTGAGGCTCGAGCGAAATGTTCTCCTGCCCATGTTCAGCCAATTTCTTGGCCTCCAACGTTGTTCTCATGGGGATCAGCGCGTTGAGAGAGGCAATGATGTGTGAAGCGGGGTGTAGGCCGCTCTTGATTGAGCTCAGCAACTGCCAATTCAAAAGGGTCTAGCCCGTCAAAATCTGAAAACTGCTAGAAGTTGCCAGCAACGCTCCTGTGGCAGGTCGTTGGGGTTCAACTTTGTGGGAAACTATGGAAATTTGATTTGTTCAGGCTAGTACATGTCTTCAGCGATCATCATTGAGACTGCGCTCGGTTGAAGGCAAGTGCAACAATTCCCCCTTGAAAATCCACGCCATAGATCTCCCGACGTGAGGGACGTGGAAGCATGCGTTGCCTCTGCCTTCACACGCCTCTCCAATGTTGACGGCGCCGCTTCCTTCGTTTTGCACGCTTGCACAGCAACCGGAACTCTGCGGGGCATTCCGCCAGCGAAGGCCAAGCGGGGCGTGGCCTGGCTGATCAGCCAATTCACCGGCAGGCAATTCTTCTTCTGCAGCCTTGCCCGCGCAGATTTTCTCGCAGCTGCTCCGACGAAATTTCTGAGCTACAGGTCCAGGTAAAGCGCTGACCACTGCCTCTCCCCAGTCGCAAAGCGAGCTCGCAAGTTGGCGGCAGCCACGGGCATCAACACTGCACAAAGCAGCAAGTTTGACTTCACTCGTCCGTCCAGTTGACGAAACTCGTTCGGCTCATATATGTTGTTGTGTAGTGGGTAGCTTGCCACAATCCATCGAGCGCGCTGAGAGGCATTCTTCCGAACTTGGAAAGACAAGAGAAATGTGATGGGCCCGGCGAGGCGAGTGGGGTGGCTCGTTTCAGCGACCCACTCCAGGTCAGGTCCAGCAGCTAAACAGGGCTCACTTGTAGGATAGGCCTCACCTGTAAAAACCAAAGCGACGAACGCAATGGAGGACGCCGCCGCTCCAGCTGTCCTCCAGCCCTGCAACAGCCCATGGCCACACCCTTATAAGACCTTCCAGCATGGTTTGATGGTTAATGAGGGGATGTATCATATATACATATATATGTATATATACTCTATACGTTCTTTGTGTTCTGTGTGAAGCGCGCGTCTTCGTCAATTCTTGCATTGTTGGCTCTGTGGTCTGAGAGCAAAGCCTCAGCCTGTCTCACAACCGAATATCTCAAAGGCCTCAACGGCGAAGCATAAAGAAACAAAAACATATTAAAACTGTCTTGTGGCGCATTATCCCCACCTATGGTTTTCATGGCTGCACATGTAACTCCCCTAACTACCCCCCCTACACAGTACCCTGATATCTTTAGTTGCGCTTAATTATAAAGTTTTGTAGAACTTTTTGTCATCACATCTGCGGTGTCTCTATGTCCCATCACACCCAACCAGTCCGCAGCCTGGCTCGGCTTGCTCGTGCCGTGGACAGGCCAAAGAGGGCAACAAGAGCACCACCTTCGGAGATAGACTGTCCGAGACAATGAACCAGAGCGACAAAGAGGCTTTGGGTCGTGAGACTCGTAGAAAAGGATCAAATTGTTTTGGCCCACGGTGTAAGCCATAGGAGGTTCGTATATGCGCATACGTAGGGAAAAATTACAACACCGAATCCCAATTAGTCAAATGGGAGGCAATCATAAGAGCCACCGCAAAACTATTTCCACGCTTTGAACACTTTAGTGGGTGGCACCACTGAGTTGTTTCGCCCAGAGCGCCGTTTTGAAAAATTTGACCGCCACCACCACCACCACCACCACAACAACAACAAGGTACAAACAAAAACTGCAGCCCCGTTACAAGATATCTTGTTCCTTTGTCTCTACAAGGGGGTGGAAACAAAATCTGCAGCCCCGTCGTTGTTATTTTGACCCTCCCGAAAACAACCAGCCAACATGTACTTTTACCAGTAGTGGTAGCGCTTGTACTAGTGCTAGTCCTACTATTACCACTACTAGTAGTAGTCGTTGTTGTAGTGTTGTAGTGGTCGCAGGAGTAGTAGTAGTAGTAGTAGTAGCAGTAGTAGTACCAGCAGCAGCAGCAGCAGCAGCAGTAGTAGTAGTAGTAGTACCAGCAGCAGTAGTAGCAGTAGTAGAAGTAGTAGTAGCCGAGAAATACTAACAGTAGTAGAAGTAGAAGTAGAAGTAGAAGTAGAAGTAGTAGTAGTAGTAGTAGTAGTAGTAGTAGTGGTAGCCGCAGTCGTAAAAGTACTAGTAGCCCAGTAATACTAGTGGTAGTAGTAGTAGTAGTAGTAGTGGCCGTAATAGTAGTGGTAGTAGTGGTAATACTGGTAGTAGTGGTAGTAGTAGTAGTAGTAGCAGAAGTAGTAGTAGCCCAGTAATACTAGTAGTGGTAGTGGTAGTGGTAGTGGTGGTAGTCCGGTGAGCTAAGCCTCTGTAAAACTTCTACTGAGAACCTCTACCACATCCTAGAGACAAAAACTGCAGCCCTGCTGTTGTTTTTTTGACCCCCCCCTCAAAAGATGTTGTTGTCTCTACCCCCTAGAAACAAAATCTGCAGCCCCGTTGTTGTTTTGAGCCCCCCTCCAGAACAACACCCCAGAAACATCAAAAAAAAGAAACAGACCAACCAAGACTTGAGTACCACAACGACAAGAAGTCCAGCTACTAACATCTCTCCAAACCTTCGACCCTATCCCTAACACTGTCCCTTTGAAACCCCTGACTTGCAACATGTGACAACTATGTTGGGCAGCTGCTTTTGTCTCTACCAACAACAACAACTACTACTACTACTACTACCACCACCACCACCACCACTACCCTGAGTCTGCGAAATCAAAAAATTGAAGAATTTACGTATTTTTGGGTTTACCAAGGAAGAGTTAGGTGAAGTTACTTTACGTAAATTTTTGGGTATGACCTAAATTAATTGAGGTTGCAACGTAAATTTTTGAAGAGTTGGAAAATGGTTGAAATTTTGAACATTTACTGAGGACTTCTTGATAGCGCCAGAGAATTTGAGGAGCGTGTGCTTGAAGATTGTACTGAATGCGAAGCATTTACTTGAGTGCACCGTAGCATTGCTTGAAGATCTACTTGACAGCGCAGCGTCTACTGGTGGGTTTATTGGAGTGTACCAGAGTATCTGTGGAGCATACGCTTGAAGATTTACTTGGGCGTGAAGAATTTATACTGGGACATTTGCTTGTGTGTGGGGCATTCACTACAGGATTACTTGAGTGTACCTGAGCATGTGTACTAGCGCAATGGACTTGCAGCAAGCAACTTCATCGGCTCAGCTTCAGCGTTTTAATTTACCTGTGAATTATGTTCTTTGTTGTTTCGAATTCATGGGAGTAAAAGCTACTTCAAACTCTGTGTCTTCGTGTCTTCCTTGAATAACTCTCAGGAAAGATCACAACCAGGAGGGAAAGATCACAACCAGGAGGGAAAGATCACAACCAGGAGGTTCAAAACAGGGTTGAGACCAGAAGGGTCCATGTCATTGATAGGTTTGCCATTTCTATGCTTCCTTGTTATTATTTATGACTTTTTTAATGACTTTTTTACAAATAGAAAGCTTCAAAAAAACACAACTCTTTAAAAAAATCATGGTTGAACTGTATTCCACCAAGGAAGTTTAAGAATAACAACTGTTGCTTCAGCATGTTTCTCTATATGGTAAGGTGTCAAGTTGAACCACAGTTTTGAGATCAAAATCATTTTCACAAATGAACCTGTTTAAAAACAGTTTAGTTTTGTCACAGGAATTACAATTAGTATGTGTTTGGTTCCCCATCAGCAAGTCATCACAAACAAACACCCTAAATATTTCAATATCCCAAAGGAATTGAGTGAAGACATGTTTCTGTGTATGTTGGGGTGTCAAGTTGAACCACAGGTTTTGAGAGCAGAATCAATAAAGCTAAGCTGTTTAAAATTACAGTTAGTTTGTGCCTAGTTCCTTTTTAGCGCAACAACTTGGAATCAAATGCAAACAAACACTAAACATCTAAGCGTTCTTTCTTCTCCTGGTGCAGACAGAACATCAAGACTTTACACCTGTTGACTGCAGTTCTCCACTCTTGTGGAATGAAAAATCTGAATTAACATCACCACTGTTTATGTCACTTATGTCATATGACATGTGACATATGTCATATGACATGTGACATATGCTGATCTCCTTTAAAAAATGCAAAGACCTCAGGAACATATGCATCCACCCAAGTGTTTGATTCTTTGGGGTAATAGCAAGAAGGACAACCTTTGAGGTTCCACAAGAATCAGTGTTAAGTGATTGACATGCTTATGCCCCACAAGAACCATCAAAGTGGTTGAGTCCCTTTTATTGGGAACATCCCTAGTCCTCTATATCACCAACTTCTTAAAACCAGTCTTCACGCCAAGAACCTTTGAACACATCTGAATTCCAAGCTCCTTTGAACCTTCAATGCATTTTGCTCACCTTTGTTTATCGTGTTTCTGCATCTTAAAACTGTTGAACTGAAAAGCTCCGCTCTTCACCCCGAGGTTCTTTGTACTACATGTGTTTAAACACCTCTGCATTACAGTCCTCTTCATGCCAACATTCAGGAAACCAATCTTGACACAAAAAGACATTGAATCTGTCTCCACGCCAAGTTTGTACCTTCAAGTCCATATAGCCCCACCGTTTTGCAAGTGTTGGCCAAGTGGGTTTCTGCTAAACGCAGTGAGTTCAATTGATAATAACACACACCAAACTTATCGTGGGGATTGTATGGATAACTATGTGAAACAACTATATACAGTAATTGAAATCTAAGACGGTATCATGGACAGAATGAAAACTAGCACAGAAAGAGACATCACATCACACGGAAAAGACACTGGTTTCCAAAATGCAGCTCTTTATTCAATCTGTAACAAGCAGTATCTAGAAGGGGGTGATAAACGCAATCACTACTGCCACATCACAGGTGAATACAAGGGCGCGGCCTAAAGTCTCAAAACATTGCTTCAAATGCTCCTGTTTCGTTTACTATCAAACACTAAGGCTTGCAGCAGGATACACAAATCTTGGGACCCAGTGTATAGACTATGTTCACAGAGTTCAGCTGGATTTATGTCATCTGTCGTCTGCTGATGTAAAATGACTTGTACGCACGCACATATTGGTATATATATATATGTATGACGCGCTACTCACACGTTTGTTTGCTTGTAAGGCATGCAGCGCTTTGTGCCTGAAACATAGGTACCAGGGAGTGGCGGCTGCGGCTAGGAACTGTGGTGCCTCCCCAGTACCTATGTTTTAGGAGAGTACCAGGCAAAGGTACTGTAACATCAAGCATTTGCATTTGCCGTGTGACAAAGGCAAAGAACACATACCTTTCAAAACCAAACAGCAGCAAACATAAACAAAAAACTTATGATACAGCACAGCACATGCAAAGGTTTGGTGTGTTTTGTTTCTCTTGGTGCTTGCTTGCTGGCTACCTGAAACATAGGTAGAACTTGTTGCCTTATATATGTAGTCAATATTTTCAACAGTTTTCTGGTTCCCTCTACCTGCACTCTTCCTTCCAAGTACTTCATGACTAGAGATCTCTGGGCAACACTACGGTGGGAGTCCAATGATCCCTGGCCACGTGCAATTCACGCATCCCAACAAATTAAGACTTATTAAAAGGGACAACCTCTTGACAATTCGAACTTTGGGTCAGTGTTTTGGGATTGCGCAAACTGTTGCAAACTTTTGGTGGGTTGCAACATTTGAGATTATGTTGGATTCGTTTGGATTATTTGAGATTATTTCAGATTATTTTTTTGGTGGGCTCCCTTTAAAGTAGTAATTCGACCTGATATTATTTCTGCATTTTTTGTATTATTTGAGATTATGTTTCCTGGCCAAACAATATTCCCCTTGACTTTAGTGTTGTTATTCCTTATCTTTGACATCCTTCAGTATTAATTTACTTGTTTCCCTTTGTTCATTCTCTTGTGTGTTCTTTACTTTTGAATTGCCTTTACAGCACAATCTTTTACATTGAATCCACACCCAAACACACCCGTCCCAAGTCCAACCCTTCCACCGGCAATCAAACAGCGCACCTGCGTAACAGGTTCAATCAAATGTGGGGCGATATGGAATTGAAGATTCAATTAAACTTGGTGTGAAGACAGATTCAATGTTTTCTTGTGTAAACTGTAAAGATTGGTTTTCAGAATGTTGGCATGAAGAGAACTGTAATGCAGAGATGTTGTAAAAACATGTAGTACAAAGAACCTCGGGGTGAAGAGCGGAGCTTTTCAGTTCAACAGTCTTAAGATGCAGAAAAATGATAAACAAAGGTGAATAAAATGCACTGAAGGTTCGAAGGAGCTTGGTATTCAAATGTGTTCAAAGGTTCTGGCCGTGAAGATTGGTTGCAAGAAGTTGGTGATAAAGAGGACTGGGATGTAGAGAAGTTCCCAATTAGAAGAGATTCAAAAGCTTCGAAGGAACTTGGGACGCAAAACGGCTTATGATGGATAAGGATTCAAAACTCTCGAGTGAGGAAGGCTTGTGGTTGGCTCAGCGGCTTTTGCAATGCAGAAATGCTCGAAACAAGTCTGGGATGTGTGGGCTTGAAGGTTCAACTGAATGCGAAAACAAGTTCAATACTCTTTTTGGTGTGAAGACTGGTTTTGATAATGTGGACATAAAAAGGACTGCAATGCAAAGATCTTGACACACATTTGCAGAAGCACATGTTAAAGAGTCTTATGAGATTTTGGAAGACATTCACTGAGAAGGGAAAATGTGTGAAACAAGACTTCTGGAATCAGGACTTGACACCATGCATTTGATATACAAGAGACAATTTGCCAATTGAGAAGAACAACTGTGCAAAGGAAGTTTGAAGAAAACAAGGCTTACAAACTGATATAGATATATGTATATATTAATGGTGTGCGGTCCTTACGCACTGCGCTATATTCAAGAAACATGTTAGTTTAGTAAAGTCCTGATCCTTGTTGTATGTTGTGGTGACCTGTGTCTTGGTTTTCCATGGTATGTGTCATTATTGATTGGGTCGACATTTGTGTTCTTCTGCATCTCATGGAGGAGGCTGCTGTGGGTGGAAGGGGTTACTTAAAGTTCTTTCCATTCTTGTGCGTTTCGGTGCTTCTTGTGGTTGTCAATGTTTCTACTTGTGGTTCCACAATGTTCTACGCAATGACTGTTGTTTGTTATTGTTTTACTTCAACTTCTCGTTTTGTGTTGCGCCGTTCATCTTTAAATCTATTCCTCATTATATGAAGGCCTTTCAACCAATGTCTTCAAATATAACAAAATAGAAACTCCAAATACCAGCAGGTTCAATATCAGGTGCAAATCAGCCAGACACTGATCAAATAGGTGTCTACAATTATGTTGCATATGTTTGTTTTAACAAATATTTGGAGACAATGCTAACCAGAAAGCGATTCAGAAACAATGGTTCAATAGTTGTATTGAACCAAAGTTGGTTGATACATTTCATTTGTCACATGCGTGTTTTGGTGTCAAGATGAACCACAGTTTCAGATCAGAACCAATTGCATAAAACTAAGCGCAGGAATTACCATTAGTTTATGTTTGGTTCCCCATGGCGCGCAACGTTTATCTTGCAAGTTTGCTTTGCGCTTTTGGTTTGAGGCTCCGTTTTTGGTGCACTGCCTACCAAACCCGTTTCAAGTTTGCTTTTGGTTTGATGCACCCACAAAACCAACCAAAAACATAAATTATATCAAATAACTCAAAATAATACTAAATAATATTAACTAGTATTAAATGATACTGTATTAATAATAGTAATCTAGGTTACCCAACAGACTCACTGATCTGGACCCCTTCCTGATCTGGACCTAGTTTCGAACTTGCTGACACAAGATGTTCGGAAGGTTCAAGACTTGGCTGCGCCAACAAGAGCAGTAGAGGCAAGATGTACAAAATGCGCTTGGGAGGTCAATGAACTATGAAGCTAAAAAGAAAACATGCGCTGCAGCATTTCATCGAAGTTGCATTTACTTGAGCATTCATATGGTATCAAGTAGACTCATGAGCTTGAGTCAATGATTGTTTTTCTCAATGGGCGAATGATGTAGTGGAGTATTAATGCGAGACTATACTTCCTTGCTCATTTGATGGACTTACTTGAGCGCTCATGAACTTACTTGAGCATTCATGGACTTACTTGAGCGTTCATTGACTTATTTGAGCATTGATTGATTTACCTGAGTGTGTGGTTTACTTAAGCATGCATGGATTTACTTGAGCATTCATTGGTGTACTAGAGCGTTCAAAAACCAGAAAAATCCAGCGAATTGTGATGCTATGTTTGAGATATTTGTTTGCTGTCCTTATGAATGAATGTTAGGCATTCTTTATCCATGTCTTACGCATTCCTTGTGCAATGTTTAAAAAGTGAATTTTAAAAAGCGCATAATGAATGCATAAGAAATGCATAGAGAATGCGTAAGAAATGCATAAATAATGCATAAGGATTTCATACAGACTGTTCCATGAAAAGACATGCTGCTTTTCGATTGTTTACTGCTGTTTCATCAGCGCTCAACAGAAAGTCTGCATTGCTGCACTTTGCACCGCTATTACCTGAGTAGACTTCATTTGAGTAATCCATGAGAGTTCAACATCACGCAAATGTAAAGCCACAAGACCTCACGCAAAGTAGATCTCAGAAAGACTTGCTCATGCAATGACAAAAGACCTGAAAGTAAATTGCATCCTCAATACGGTTTCCTCAAAGATAGGGACCTCTTGCAAATGTGTACCCACTCACGTAAAAAGAACATCAGGTGATTCTGTTGTTTAGTAATCAGGTGATCACTTGGGATTATCCTCCAAGCAGCTATTGAGTGGTCAAGTGATTGTACACTGAAGTGCGGCGCACTTTACTAACACATGACTCAGGAGATGGAAGTGAAGACCTACAAGAATTCTCAGCACAGCCTGACCACCCAACACCGAAAGCACCTGCCAAGCCCAAAGGTAGTGCAAAGCAGAAGGCCAGAAATAGTGCCGCCAAAGCAAAGGGCAAAGGCAAAGGGCAAGGCCCACATGAAGAAGCCAGCAACTGCCCCAGTTGCCAAGAAGCCTTCTGTCAAGACTGAGGATGAGGAGTCCAAGGCCAAGAAACATAAGACTCAGAAATCAAACCTTGCTGAGTGGGCACCAAAGGATGAAGAATCATGAAATTTGCGCAAGCCCTGTGGAAAAGCTGCATGGCTGGAAACAAAAGTTTGAATGCAAGGGTTGCTGCCTTGAAGTTTCACCACCCTAGGTCCAATTGAAGAGTTGAAGAGAGAAGGCAATAGCAACATGTTTTACATAAGTTTGCAGTTCTTCAGGGTTCCCTGTGAATTCTTTGTATTTTTGCCTGAGCACCTTTCCGATATCATTCTGCGTGTTGTTGCACGTTGAAATGTTTTTTCTTGAGAAGTTCCTGCAGTTTGTTTCCTCCTTCTTTGTTATTTTAGTTGAGCAAATGGTGCGTGTTATGCGGAGGTTCTATGCATTTCTTACCATGTATTGTGCTCTTTTGACACCTATATATGAACTTAAGTATAACTAAGTTAAAAAGCGATATACGTAGTTTTGCACACAATTTTTCCATTTACGTCAATTCATTGAAAACGTAAATCTACGAATTTCAGAGTACTACTACTACCACTACCACTACTTTTGCAACTACAACTACTACTACTACTACTACTCCTACTTCTACTCCTACTACTACTACTACTCCTACTACTAACTACTCCTACTGCTACTGCTACTGCTACAATACTACTAGATAACTAGATACTAGATACTACTGTAGTTACTAGTTACTAGTTACTAGTTACCAGTTACTAGTTACTACTACTACTACTACTACTACTACTACTACTACTACTACTACTACTACTATACTTCTAGTACTACTGCAACAACAACAACAACAACGACGACGGCGACGGCTTTTCAATTGTTTGCTAGGGCTTTTCTGTTCAAGATCCAACATCAACTAGGTGAACGACTTATATAGCCAGGAAGCTACTAGGCTAGGACGCAGAAGGGCTCAGGTTGTTTCAATCAATCCTGACCCTTCATGATTGTGTTGGTAGATGCGATACGCATTGGCAGGCTGCGCGATGTGAATCTTGATGCGCAGACTTCATGGCAGGCGCGCCGCTTTGCGAACCTCGAAGTGCAGATGTTTTGGCAAGCAGCACTTTTTGAGCCTCGGAGTCGAGCTTTCGTGGCAGGTGCAGCACTTTGTGAACCTTCAAGGGCAGGTACCGTATCAGACAGGCGCAATACTTTGCGAAGGTCCGCCACTCAGTTGCGACCCTCGAGGTGCGATTTCGTGGCAGGCGCTACTACATACCGGACTTCCACGCTACCCTACCAGCAACACACTACAATACCGCTACTACCACCCACTACCAACCACTATACCAACCACTACCAGACCAAGCACTACCACTACCACACTACCACGCCATCACACTATCAACCACTGCTACCACATTACCGACCACTACAACAGTACCAAACATACCAAACTACCACATTATCCACCACATTCAACCACTACCACACTACCGCCACTTTTTCACACTACCACACCACTTCTACACTGCAATACCACTACCACTCTACCGCCACCACTCTACCACTCCACTCTACCACTACCACTACCACTGCCACAAGGACCACAAAGCAATCTTCTCACTCTTCTGAAAACTTATAATTGAGACGCTAGGTGACGCATGTCTGAATTACTCTCTGTCAAGCATGAAAAAAACTGGGTAGACCATGTTTGATCAATGATAACTGCAGAAGCCTGGCACGGCTCACTTTTAAGACTAAAATTAAGCCCGCATTGACTTGAAGTCGCCCAGCCTTGCAATGGCTTTGCCAGAGGTGCACAGATCCACCTCTCACCAGAACGAATGAAATTCTCCCATTGCTACACAACGCAAATGCATCCACCAAAAGAATCATATCCAGCCGGTTTGCGCACCTCCGCGAAACTTGCGCAACCTGGTCGAGAGATTAGCCGGAAAAAAAAAAAAAATATATATATATATAGTTATTGCCGTTGCACAAAACTACTGCAAGCTCCTGATTACCAAGAACAAGGCTGCGTTTGTTCAAATTGGATACAAGTTCATCCAGACCATGAACAAACCGAGAGACGTCAGGAGCTGTGACTCCATGTACCAGCAGCGGCTGCGGTGCCTGTTCAGAAAACAATCTCGACCCACAACATGATGCTTGGAACAGTATGTGGGAGACACGTCTGGCAGTCGGGGACAAGGTCCAACTGATTGGCGGAGAACCAACGCGGAACTCGGCACCACTGAAAAGGTCGCTGATCATCACGTGTAGGAACAAGTGCATCGCTACCAGTAACAAGTGCCTTACTAGTAGTAACAAGAAGCTACTAGGAACAAAGGGCATCGCTACTAGTAACAATAAGAATTTAATTAGAATTGTAATTACTAGCTTTCCAGACTGTCACTCCAGAGCCTGAAGAGCCATGATATCCTCAGCGGACTCAACAGAGAGTACTGACAGGGAAAAGAACTCGGAGTACCTGCAGAGTACTTGCAGAGTACCTGCAGTACTCAAGGACGCTATAAGGGCTCCTGGCCTTACTACTAGGAGCAAGGACGCTACTAGGGGCTCCTGGCATCGCTACTAGGAGCGAGCAAGGACGCTCATCAAGTACTTGAAGAACTGCTTGCCCCTCATCCACAAATAGCAACGCTCGAACTTGCATCGAAGTATCCGGCACACCCTGAAGTTGGGGCTGGACTGGAGCCACCGCCAAAGATTCAAAACCAAGGTGTCACACTCACAGTGTCACCCTCGACCTTCGCTTTGGAGTAGGGTTGAATTTCGGAGAGATTTCCATCTGGCCACCCCTTTTGACACTGGCTTCCTTCTCCATCACAGGCAACTGAGACATCTGAATATAACTTATATCACTACAATGAGCGTGCTCTTTTCCCTTCCTCTCTTTCTGCACAGCTCCCTGGCTATCCATTAGGATGTAGCCTCCAGCTGCATTCCCAGTTCTCAAAGGTCACACTCCATACCCCGACCGAAACAAAGGGATCCATGCATGCGGTGTGCGGTCCTGTGCGATGGTTGGACTCGCACTTTTGCCACAGCTGTTACTGTGATGTGACCTTCTCGGCGATCTTCCAATCCTTGGGTTCGGATCTTGACTGATTTGTCTCAGCACCTGTGAGCTAGGTGACGTCTTTGACCCAGCCAGTCAAAAAGGCTGTCCTGGTCCGAAACGGGTGGCAAACAGCCTACAAAGAAATAGATCGGGAGGGTTCCTCCCAATCCGAACTGCTGGACCTTGATGGACCTTGCATCTTTGGAACAGACAGTTTGCAGCGATCATTATGAGCACTGCATTGCAAAACCAAATTCACAAAATTCCACTTGCCGTCGCTCAGTATTTTCCATTGTTGGTCTCTGAAATCATCAATGTTGGTCCTGGCAAGTTGGATAAACAGGCAATGCTGGATTTCAATGATATAATCCTCAGCATCAACATCACAACATGGCTGAGTTTTGGATTTGTTCGTACTTCTCAATCGCGGCTGCCTCCTTCGTTTGAACAATTCTGCTGTCATGCAAGAATAAGCTCCGCTCCTGCAGGGTGTGGTCAATCATTAACAGTGATCTATATAGAGCCAAAAAAACAACAACAACAACAACAACAACAACAAACACAAAAAGAAAACAACAAACATCGTACTACAGTAAATGGACAACTTGCAAGAATCAAACACAAGAACCTCTATATCCATGTTCTTATTCCCACATTTCTATGTTGCGATGACATCTTCAATGATTGCTCATGCAGGGTTTCATGAATTTTGTTCACTCAACCTAACCTCCCTGTAAGCCCGAAAGCTTTGACACTGGGTGTGCGATATAGCTGACGGTTTGAATTTGTCCACCTACGGTAAACCACTAAGGAATTTTGGAAATGGCTCCGCTCCACTTCAGATTTCCACTGGAAAGTTCTACAAAAGTTCTGACTTTGAGGGTTGGGGACCGGCTATGTGACAAAACAACCTAACTTCTGACCGTGCGGAATGCCAATGCTTCAGTCCAAAGAATGCCTTGTTATGCCATGTGATTCCAACAGTCTACGGATCGTATGTTCCCTGCCACAACTGCTAATAGCATGTGGGCATTGTTTCTTCAGCGTTCTTGACGGATTCTCCAAACAGAGTGTGCAAAAACATGTAGTTACTTCGTTCTGAGCAAGGTTGTACCAGTCTTGCCTTGAGGAGGGTTTCAAGAATGTCATGTGTCACTGACAACATGCACCCCATGGCGCAAACATGACCTAAACCCGCACACTTTTAGCTCAAATCGGGCCCAACTAGCGTCGGGTGAAAACTGAAGCATGCGTTCGACCTTCAACAACGTCCACAAGTTGCTCGGGCACCATCCTGAACGATGTCTTCAGTTCAACGGTGTATATCGTGCCACATGTTTTCTTGTTCTTCCTCTGGGTTTGGATTTGTCTCCTCAACCGTTGGGCCTTCCGAGCCGCTACAAACTCTGCATTGAAGCGGATGATCCAAGTCTTTCGACTTTCGTAGAGAGCCCAAACACGAAAAGCATAAATGACACCTTGGTCATGCAATCCGACAGATTCATGTCTGAAGGGGTCCATGTTGGGTAGCACCTTGCGCCTTCACGAATGCCGCGTTGTACGGCCATCAACTCAACTCCAGTCTTTGCACTATTTATTTCAAGCAGCGGACATAGCATCCACGGCTATCCATCGCCAACAAACTTTCAACTAAAGCTGAAAGGTCATCAGCATTTCCTCTCATGAGCTTCTCTCCATGGGCCAACGCCCACATGAGCCGCATCTTCCAACCAGTATCTTCTGTCACATACACAGCCTGGGCTTCAGATCCATTGGATCCTCGCACTGGGCGATCAAGCTTCCATGACTGATAGTCCAAGACGCTCATCTTGGCTGGAACGCCTTGAAGGATCTTTGGGGATGCAACTGGCGATGAAACCTCCGGCGTCACCTCCACAAGGTCTAATGCCTTGGGCCGCATCTCCAAAATGAACGAAAATCACATCTTTCCATGACAACTGTTCTTCAGAAAAACTGTGAAAGATCAATCCCTCTTGACAGGTCTTCTCGAGCTCTTTCATGATTGCATTTGCCTCTTTCAACACAGCCAAAGTCGGTTTGGCCAGAGATGAGGCTGCAATCCCAACCCTTGCCTGATATTGCGGCGCAGTAGCCCCGGGGCCTGAGTCAATTCGCTCGGTGTCAAGCTATCGTCCTTTGGACGTTCTCGCTCTCTTTCGGTTGGCGCTGGGCGAAGTTCATTGCAGTAATGTTCCTGGGAGATCTTGATGCTGAAATCTTGAAACTGCATGGTTCGCACTCCAGCAAAAGTGAAATTTCCTCTTTTCCACGGGCTCCCGGAATACATGTTTTGCAACTGATTTCTGATGGCAACCCAGTCTTCATCTTCCAGGTTTCCGCGCAACAAAAAGTCGTCTACACGCGCGCCAACTCTTCCATAAACATGTCCATGTCTGTTGCGAAAAATATGCACGCGTCAACGCCGAACCTTCTTGTCAGTGTCTATAAACCAAAACTCTCTAGGAGGGGTGGTGAGGCCATAGATCACACCAACAATTTCGAAAGCTGTGCCATACGGCGCTTTCTGGAACACGTTTTGTGAACAAACGCTGTCCCTCTTGCTTTTGACTGACTTGCAAACAGGCTGAACGAGAATCTGCGCATTCTAGTGTGCGTCTATCGAGCGCTGCTGCTTGCAACAATGTGTTTCGACCCATTCTGCTCAAAGTTGGTGATAAGAAGCAGGCAAAAGTGATTTGCCGGTTCGCTCGCCACGCTTTCCACGCTTGTAGCCTATCAGCACAATTCGGACCTTGGCCTTTGAGAGGCCATCTGCTCGAAGAACTCCTGGCTTTGGTTCTTTGGAAACATCAAATTAGCAACCATCTCATAGGAACGCATCTCTTCTCAATCTCCTCTTGTGGAATTTTGTCTTTCACCAGAGCAAGTGCTTTTGAACTCAGAACTTCACTGAGCTCTCTGGCCATTGACACCTCAACAAGCTTCCGGTCTTCGGGACTGGGGTTCCTGAAGTTGATCTCTTTTGAGGCTTCCATCATTTTCTTCATGTACAGAGTTCCTCCATCGACGAAAGCTTTGGTGTCGTTGACCTCGACGACCGTCTCACAAATCTCTTCATCTTTGTCACACGCTTCCTTCCTTCTTTTGACTCTCGATCGATTTGATCACGAAGTCGTTGCCTTCTGTCTACTGCCTTCAAAGTCTGTTCAGGCTGCGTCACCTGCGCCATTAGGTCTTCATACGCTTCCTCCGCCACTGCAAGGTCATGGGCGCCATCTAAAGCAAAATGCTCAACTCGACGCGTGTCCTCGTCTGACGAGGTGGAAGCCTGCTCGACGACGGTTCCCATTCGCGCTCACCAAGTGTTTCCACCTCCATGCCTGCTCCTTCACGAGTTGTCCTGAATCTCTAGTCTTTGACTTTCTCTCTCGCCACTTGTCCATGCCTTTGTGTAAGAAAACATGAAAGAAACAGTCGCGCCCTTTTAACCTGAAGTTCGGGCCACTGCGGTCGGGGCCATGTAAGGCTTGAAAGTGTTTAACACTCCACCTTGAAGTTGGGATGCTCAAATCCCATCTTCACCTTAAACTTTCAAGGTAGAGTCGTGCGTAGTGGGTGAAGTTGTCGTCCCACTCGCCCATGATGACTATCTTACAGAAAAGTCCATAGTCATGCTTCTCTTCCATCGTCCAGCTGATGATGCGGTCGAAGCTCATGTGTGTGTACGTCCGGCTGTAGATGGATGCCAGCCGGGTCCTGATGAACTCTTTCAGCTGGTTGGTGTTGAACAGGCCAGCTTCCAGCACACGCCGAGCTCGTGGCTCCTCCTCCCTCTTCATGTCTTTGAAGAGCATCTCAAAGTCCCACCAGTCACCATCCACTGGTGGAGGGTCGAAAGTCGACCTGTGGCCTGGGTCCTCGGCCGGCTCGTTGAAGTTCTCAACAGGCGGGGGCTCATCCACGTCCATGTAGGCCGGTGGCGCAGCATCATTCACAAAGCTTGGGTCCTCTCGCTCAGAGGTTGTCGGCTTGTAGTACCTGTGATATCCACTCACAGGATTCCCCATGAAGTACTCCTCGCCATTGAAGGCGTCCTCTTCTCTCTCCAACACCCTGTAGTCAGCCAAGGGGTCCCAGTCTGTGATGATGTGCCCTGCAGTCCTCTGCTGCAGCTCTGTCTCTCCACCTCCATCAGACATCTCTTCATCAGGTTCACTTTCATCTGCTTCTCCTGCCACCGGACTTGGATCTTCATGTCGATCTCGCTCTGGTGTTGTGGTCATCTCCTCTTCTGGCCTCTCATTCTCTGGAACTTCTCCTTCAGGTCGTTGTAGAGGTGCAGGTAGGTTGCGACCTCGTCTCACCAAGTTCCAACCTTGCCCTCATGATCATTCCGATCTCAGCAAACTCGTCTTGCTGTCTTTGAAACTCCATGGTCTCTTCTTGCCTCAGAAAGCGCGGGAGGGTTCTGAGGTACACTGACCATTTCACTCTGTACCTGTAGCCACAGTAGACACCGTAGAGGAACACGAAGATCGTGTAGATGGTCAGCATCTTGATGATGAACCACCATGAGTAGGGCTCCTCAGGCATCTTTCCATCTGCGGCATCATCAACCCTTTCTCCTCCGACCTTCTGCTGCAGCAAAAGCAAG